ATGATGATGATGGTCCAGGATCAACACTAGTGAATTTACTCTATTAAATGATGATGATGGTCCAGGATCAACACTAGTGAATTTACTGTATTAAATGATGATGATGATGGTCCAGGATCAACACTAGTGAATTTACTCTATTAAATGATGATGATGGTCCAGGATCAACACTAGTGAATTTACTGTATTAAATGATGATGATGATGGTCCAGGATCAACACTAGTGAATTTACTGTATTAAATGATGAAGATGGTCCAGGATCAACACTAGTGAATTTACTGTATTAATTGATGATGATGGTCCAGGATCAACACTAGTGAATTTACTCTATTAAATGATGATGATGGTCCAGGATCAACACTAGTGAATTTACTCTATTAAATGATGATGATGGTCCAGGATCAACACTAGTGAATTTACTGTATTAAATGATGAAGATGGTCCAGGATCAACACTAGTGAATTTACTGTATTAAATGATGATGGTCCAGGATCAACACTAGTGAATTTACTGTATTAAATGATGATGGTCCAGGATCAACACTAGTGAATTTACTCTAGTAAATGATGATGATGGTCCAGGATGAACACTAGTGAATTTACTGTAATAAATGATGAAGATGGTCCAGGATCAACACTAGTGAATTTACTGTATTAAATGATGAAGATGGTCCAGGATCAACACTAGTGAATTTACTGTATTAAATGATGATGATGGTCCAGGATCAACACTAGTGAATTTACTGTATTAAATGATGATGATGGTCCAGGATCAACACTAGTGAATTTACTGTATTAAATGATGATGATGGTCCAGGATCAACACTAGTGAATTTACTGTATTAATAGATAAAGATGAATTCAATACGAGTGAATTTATTGTATTAACCCATAAGAACCCGGACCAATTTCTCTTTATAGGAAAATTATGGGGCATATAACACCGACCAAATAGACCACTTTGAACATGTTTCTGCAGTTGTTTTTCAAATGCAACCCCTCTTTGTGAAAGATCTGTAATGTCACATATATGTCACATTGGGCATTTATTTCACAATTGAAAAAATACATTTTGTCAGTTTTATTTGCTATATAACATATATTTTTTTTTAGTTTATTTGCTTTTCCATAATATATTTCAAAGCCCCATTTCTGTGACCATTTCATTTTGCAACAACTCTTTTGAAACATCAAAATTCAACCGTTTTTGGTATATGGTAGTTCATTCATTGTTTTCACAAAATAAAATATATATAAAAAATAAAAAAATAACTACCTCACAGCAACACCGTGGCTCAGTGGGTAGCACTTTTGCCTCACAGCAAGAAGGTCACTGGTTCGAGCCTTGGCTGAGTCAGTTGGCATTTCTGTCTGGAGTTTGCATGTTCTCCCCATATTTGCGTGGGTTTCCTCCGGGTGCTCCGGTTTCCCCCACAGTCCAAAGACGTGGTAAAGGTGAAATGAATAAGCTAAACTGGCCGTACTGTATGTGTGTATGAATGCAAGTGTGTATAAGTGTTTCCCAGAGCTGGGTTGTGGCTGGAAGGGCATCAGCTATGTAAAACATATGCTGGATAAGTTGGTGGTTCATTCTGCTGTGGTGACCCCTGATTATTAAATGGACTAAGCCGTAATAAAATGAATAAATGAACTACCTCACACTGAAGGTTAACATGTTAAACCTGCACATGTTGTCAGCCACCATGGAACACCTTGTTTCATTTTCCCAGTATGCACGATTTTCTGGCATTTTGTTTTGGACCAATGCGCAAATAGCTTTCAACTAATATTTACAATTCTTTAACAGTGGCGTTAACCATTTTTTGAGTTAGATTGTTGCACACTGTACAAATGTGTTTGTTCCTTCAGTAGCGCGAACATTTCTGCTGTTATCAACTTTTTGAAATACTCCAGGTGTGTGTGAAGATTGTCTGGAAGTGTGGCACTTGGCCATTTCAATGTGCACTCTGGGGTTTCAACTTTTTCCAAGAAAAAGTTGTTACCCTTGCTGGTTGCATCTTGCTGGCCAGAGTTTATGTTTGGCTGTGCAGCTTCTGAATCTAGATTACTTGATCTTCTAATGCTTTTCCTCAATATTAAGTAGCCTAACACACAGTTCAGTCCTGAATCTTCTCCGTGTAAGTTCAGACTTCGCAAGTTTGATCAAGGCTGCATCTCTTCTTCTCAGTTTGATATGGAAAACATACCGAGGACACGCGTCAATCTTCACAGGGAACAGTGTACTTTATAACTTCATTCACATCACCTTGGCTACGTTGTTTCACTTTCTCAACAATAAAATGTAAACTTGATATAAGGAACTGCCTATTTTTATTTTAATATTAACAACTAAACAGACAGCAGAAATGTTGAGGCGCCGTGCTGCATATGAGCGTCATCTTCACTGTGTGCATATTTATAACAAAACGGAGCCGAACTGCCTCCTTTCAATTTCAGTGAAAATACGAAACGCACCCTCTCTTTTGCTGAATATCAGTTTTAATAATCGATAATGGCCATTATAAAAGTATAACATACAATAAGTTTATACATTATAGGAAATAAAGGCAAGCGATCAGTCAATATACAGAATGTAGGCTACGTGCTTACATTAATCATTAACTTATCTTTGCGCTCAGCCAAAACACGTTACCTGAGAACAAATAATAGATTCCAATGCCCAAAGTCAGGGAATATGTCGTTAGATAAAGACAACAAGATGAATGAAATATCACGTTTAATAAATATAGTGAGATTAGATCCAGCGGGAGATGCTTGATGAGAAGTCCGACTAGCAGAGCTCTCATCTGGGTAGATGGGCTCCAGCGATTGCCAAAGAGTGTGTGTGTGGTCACGTGATGTGCGTTTTCAGCGTTTTGGTGTGGACGGAGAGCAGTTCAGAAACGCTGGGTAAAACGCGAGTGTGGACGCGGATCGTTTTCATTCTAAAACGCCGTTTTAAAACTAAAATGCACTAGTGTAAATGGGGCCTAAATCAGATCCACTTGATTCATCATCCTCCATGTCTTTCCTACTTGAAGTGTAATCAGGCTCATCAATGTCGAATGTTTATTCGAGTCACTGTCACATCCCTCTCACTGTCATCTCTGATATAATCTTTAATGCATTCTGAACATAAAATTGTTTCCTGAATCTAATCATGTTATTCTCACTTCAAATTTACAACCTTAAAATAAAACCAACTTATTGTATAAGCATCTTGTTACAGCTTATAGTTATAAAATAGTTTCAAAATACATTTCATTAACAATATATCTAATGTGACACTTTATATATTTTTGTTAATATATGCTTTGAAATGAGCAGTAGAAAATATAAAACACTCAAATAATTGAATCAGCTAAATTAATTGAGCAGTTTGTTACCATTTTTTTAATGTGACAAATATGTCACATCAAAATATATCAATATATGTCACCACAATATCTTTGTATCTTGTTTTATATCAGTTTGTTCAAGAAATGCATTAGAATCACGGTAAGTGTAATCTAGGATGTGTTATTAAAACATTAGAATAGTTAAATTAGGAAACAGAACAAATTAGGAAATAGTTAAATAGGAAACGGAACAAAGAAGCACATAAGGAGGCACAGCTGAATACAATTAACACTGGGAAAAAAACTGGGTCATAGAAAAAAATCAACACCATCAAGAGAGCCCTAAAAACATGTCAAAGATTACAGCATTTAGCCTAGGATTATAGAAATATTTTACAGTTTTTAAAATGTCTCTGATGACCAAATCGTGATAAAAAAAAATAATAATAAAAATGCTGTCAGGTCAGGGAAAGAGTTAATATGAATGTCACGGTTGAAGGAGTTTTCCCTGAAAAACAGCTCCACCAATCCCAACCAAGCAAGCCAAAGTGTGACAGTTGCAAAAAACAAAAAACTCAATGAATTAATGTAAACCGAGAACAAACCTTGCGAGAAACCAGCCTCAGCCAGAGTTCTCCTTTGGCCGAATGGAAAATAGCCAGAGCTGCAGCCTGACAGTGACTTGAGAAGGATGAATGTCCATCATGGCGAAGGTGCAGTTGTAGATTTGTGTTTTTCTTAAGTGATTCTACTTGTTGACACAGCAGGGGGCCGACCATACACCGAGTGTACACAATGCTTGCATGGTTTGGGATCTGTAGAGCTGCGTAATGATGTATTTGCTCTTAAAATTTGGACTCTCAGTAGTGATTTTTAAACCACACTGAATTGAGCTACACTAAACTGAACTTAAACACTGAAAACTGAACTACACTGTTTCAATTTACTATGATCTTCTATATGATGCTGCTTTGACACAATCTACATTGTAAAAGTGCTATACAAATAAAGCTGCATTGAATTGCTTATTACACATAAAGGGATATTTAACAGTTGACAAATCTCTTTAAATATAAAAATTAAATGACTAAAATGTAAAAGATTATTATTGTCTTCATAATAAGTCAAAAACACTACGTTTGAATACTACAAACTGAATTTAGAAATAGTTTTGAAAAAATCTTTGGATAATATTGGAATTCTATTCTATTCACCTACAGATTCAAATAACTCTAATGCAGAAAAACACGATTATACAGTTGATTATTTAATAATAATAATACCAAGTTGTATCATTATATACGAATTCATGTTTACCTAACGTAATCCAGATTTGCGGCTTTTGAGGTTTGCAAATTTCTGTTTTGGTGACAATGACAATGACAGCGACGACGTAAATTATGTCAATGAACAAAAAAAACAAGAAACATAGTTTGTCCAAAAAGTCTACAAAGGCCTCATTTCTGTTTGCCTTTGGGTTTGTTTGGTCCATGCTTTCCAAAACGTTCACTGTTTTCTGAATTGAAGCCATCTCTATTTCACTGGTTTTTGTCATCACAATCACACCAGCATCTGGTAATGGAGACCATATGCATGAACACACTAATAGTTCATAAATAAAGTTTGAACTTTCTATGTTTGCAGTATTTAGTATAATTTTACCTTCATCTTCATGCAGATGGGTGTTTTGTCTTTCGATTCTCTTTGAACATCTACAAGTCAGAATGCTGTCAGCGGTCATCAGATGTGTCAGCACTAAAGACATCACCATGCTCAGCACCAGATTAACCAGACAGAAGCAGAAGTGATAATCTTTGAAACAAAAGCCAGAGTTCAGTTTCATCATCAGCAAGAAGGTAACGGTCCAGAGTCAGGGGGTAGGGGTGGGGAACCTTTTTTTCCATCAAGGGCCATTTACATTTTTGTAACATTGTTTAGGGGCCATACTAAATTATAGGGCTGATTATTACGATTATTTTGGTCATAATTGTAATCACGATTATTCAAAACAATTATCAGTTGAAGTCAAAATTATTCGCCCTCCTGTGAATTTTGTTTATATATATATATATAAACATATATTTATTATAAATATATATATTTCCCAAATGATGTTTAACAGAGGAAGTTTTTTACAGTATTTCCTATAATATTTTTTTCTTCTGGGAAAAAAAAGTCTTATTTGTTTTATTTCGGCTAGAATAAAAGCAACTTTTAATATTTTGAAACCTATTTTAAGGTCAATATTATTAGCCCCATTAAGCAATATATGTTTTTAATTATCTGCAGAAGAAACTACTGTTAAAACAATGACTTGCCTAATTACACTAATTAAGCCTGTTAATGTCACTTTAAGCTGAATACTAGTATCTTGAAAAATATCTAGTAAAATATTATGTGCTGTCTTCATAGCAAAGATAAAAGAAATCAGTTATTAGAAATGAGTTATTAAATCTGTTATGTTTAAAAATAGGTTGAAAATAAATTTTTCCATTAAACAGAAATTGGGGGGAAAGGGTCGCTAATAATTCAGGAGGGCAAATAAATGTGATTTTATATATGCAGTTATTTTTCTCCCTGTAAATACGGAAAGAGAAATAAATACAATAGCATAAAAATATGAAACAAACTGTGCTTTAAGCATCTTCACTGTAAGAAAAAAACTTCAGCTACTAAAGTCTTTCAGTCAAGAGCAGTGAGGGATTTTGTCCTTTTGTTTAATAATAAAAACAGGCGGCAGCAGGAATATTGCGCACTGCCACTTTAGGAATAGTGCAGCTTTGATATGGTTTCTCTTTCACATGTCTTTTGATTCTCAACTTGTTTGTTTGTTACACAAATGACGGTTGATATGAATAATCACTAAACACCGCGCTCTGACACAAATGTGCATGTATTTGAAAATTAAAGCCCTTACATTAAGATGGCGTTAGATGTTTGTGCTCTGCTCGTCTCCGAGGCTAAGCGAGCACACACACACACACAAGCATGCCATGCGGTCTCGTTCGTGCTATTAAAAATACGAATGATTCGAACGTACATCGATGAATGATGCGCATCTTGTGCTGCAAACGTGACATTACAACACTTGCTTTTAGTCACTTTCATGTGAAATTGAGCTATGCTGGGCAGCAAATGTGTATAATTTCTAAATGTGTCACGTTCTACAACAGAATTTTTTTTTTTTTTTCCGAGGGGTGATTTTAAATTTACAGATGGAGCCGGATCAAATGGTCCGCATACGGCCCGGAGTCCGGACGTTCCCCACCCCTGATCTATGGACTGCTCAAATGAAGGAACTTAGTTGACAGAGAGAGAAAGAAATAATCATCTTAATCATTATTCTTAACCCAAATAGATGACTATTAAAAAAAAAAAAAAACTATACAAAAAAATTTACTGAACAGTCCGAGTTGAATTATAGACTTACATAGAACTAAAAAAATTATTGCTGACTTTAATTTCATACTAACGTTATGTATGTTCATCACAATGCTTAGAGCGAGATAAATACATGTAAAGTATGAATATTGTACTGCACCACACACTATGTATACATATTTACTTATACATTTACTTACGGAGAAGAGGTGTACATCCCCCACCACTGGACAGACGATCATTGAGGATGAGGAGAAACATGGTGAAGCTCAAGACCAAGGTGACCTTGAGGTTGTTGCGTTCTCCTCCTTTAATTGGCAGAGAAAAGCTCACCAGATCAGCCAGCATTATTAATATACTGGGAAGAATCAGGGTCACAACAGCACTGAAAGGATTGATGGATAAAGTGACCTGTCAACAGACGACAGAAGTATCATTTTAAATGCCTGATTTGTTTACACAGTTACCCTTATTAGTGTCATTGAAAATTCCTTATTTCAACAGTTCATTTTTGTACTTATTGGTAAAGTCACTCTGGTAATTATTCTCTTGATGTTAGAGCCAAAAATGTGTATAGTTGAATGTACGTACAGATGCAGAGTTTGGCAAACAATGTAAACACCCCCTTGTGGTTGACATTTATCAAATTTTGCAGTATGTACAAATGTCTGAAAAAGCACACAATGTTTCAAACTATTGATTCATTCATAAAAGAGTCGACTCATAATGCTTCAAACGAATCGTCTTAATAACGAGTCTTGAGCTGTTTTGGCTTGACGTCAATACGAATCTTAAGCCCCGCCCAACTGTTGCGAGCGCAAACCCGGGAGAATTAAAACCTGCAGCCCCGCCCACAAACACTGTAGCAGACGGTTGAATCAAGTCACGCTGTGCTCAGCTGTAGCTTTATCTGACAGGAACTTTATCAGTACACAGTACATGAACCAGTTTCTTCCTCACAAGTGTAAGTAAGTGCGATTAAAATGGCTGCCTCCTTGTTTTCTCTAGCTTGCAAATTATGTATTTAATTGCATTTTTCTACTTGTAACCGCTTGTACTGTATCAGGTTAACTCTTTATATTCTCATATCGCGTCTAATGCCAAGTTAAAAATGCAATGCTTTGTTTACAGATTTAAACCAAGTGTGCCGCAAGCCTGCGTTTAAGTGAAGGTCTCGGCTGTTAGATCGCCCCCTGGGGGCTGGCTGCAGTACAAGTCATAAAGCCCGCCTCCTCCGTGTTAATGAAGGAGACTTGAGCCCAAATAAAAAAATTCATTACACTTGCAATAAAATGTCCCGAAAGATGGTTCTGGTCGATTAAGGCACTGGTTATTGTGCTGAAATAGGTGCAGATCTTCATTTTTGTAAACAGTTTGTTTTTAGCAGTAATTTAATGCTGGGCGTGTCATCGTGATTGACAGCTGTGATTGACAGTTTCTCAAAGCGCGGCGTCTGAGCTTCGGCAGGAGACTGAAGTAGACTGAAATGTTATTATTCGATTTCTGTGTTATTTTACCATGTCAAAATGAGTTCAGCAGTAAACTATAGTTTCTGACATACATGATCCTGGTGGAACACTGTTTATTCGCTAAGTTCAGGGCTTTTTTCGGGCTTTATTAGTTTGCTGATACACGCCTAGCCACCCAGATAGCAAAACACAGTTCCGGCTAGATTCTCGCCTGCCGGAGACTTATCTTTTAGAGCTCAGACTGACTAATGTTACCTCTGCTGGACCTACTCCGGATGCCTGGACTCACTGCCCGATTCCAGTCCGAGTCAATCGAGCCAGATGCGGCGGCCGAGCGAGCCGGCGCTGCCGCATGCAAGCCGGAATCAGCCCGCGACGCCGCGAGTAAGTTATGGGCTGCGGCCTGGAGCTGGCGCGATTGAATATATAAAACCCTCATATTTGTTAACGTTATTACATCCATTTGTGTTGATATGACAGCAAACGCATGCTGAGAAGTTCGGGGGGCGTAGTTGATTTTACATAAAGCGTTTGATTGGAAGCTCGACTCTGCTCATTTTCGCGGCTCCTCCTCTGGCTCCATCAGACAATCCTTCTGCGCATGTCTGGCTCCAATTTCAGCAGTCTTTTGCGACAGTTTGTGCCCGTCAAGCAGGCGTTTTGCCCTCAAGGCGTTCAATGGGAAAAAGGGCTGTCGCGTCGTCCATATTTTTTTACAGTCATTGATTTAAACGCGTTTGTGAGCTAGCGTTTCACTGCCGTTTGTCATTGCTTTGGCCACCATCAGCTGTTCTTACACACATGCTGAGGTCAAGGTTCAGTATAGTTCAGCATTCGCCACTGTGTGGAATAATACTGAATGTGTTTCATGGTTAGGAGCAGTATGCTGGTGTTTAACTGCACTGCTTTAATGCACTCCTGCATTGGGCTCACACACATACTGCCAACATTTGGTCCCTGAAAATCTTGGAGACCGGAGGGGTTAGGTTTTGGGGTTAGGTGTCTGAATAACACTGTTGAGAACTGTGTACTGTGGTGTTAGTACGTTAACTATTATGAAGTGTGTTTTGGGCAGCCGCTGCAATCGGATCCTATACCAATGTTGGCGACCCAGGGGTTTCACAGACTGTACCAAAATGCTGAGGACTGGGGCGGGGGCTGAAATTATGTGAATTTTCTGAGATAAATAACAAAACGGGAGGGGGTCAGGGATGGGTCTAAAATACAGGAGACTCCCAGGATAAACAGAAGTGTTGGCAGGTATGCTGACACATACACTATGCACTCTGACTATTTCAATATAGTTGATAAGCCATGATGGCGTTGAACGCTGTCAACCAATAGCAAAAGGCTGTCATCAGCCCAATCAGTGCAGATTAGATTCACGCTAAGAAGGGGTTTGGGAACAAATGAATCGCGGTGAATCGTCATGATTCATATGGGACTCGCTGGGATAATTGGGTAAAAATAAATGCATATTATTAGACAATAAAAGTGTTTTTTTGACCTTGCATGCATATCAGTCTGTTGTTGGAAACCTTTAAAACCAAAATATGACCTTTTTAAATGTATAATAGGGGCTCTTTAAACCTTTAGATATATATATATATATATATATATATATATATATATATATATATATATATATATATATATATATATATAATTAATCTTATATAATTATAATCAAGTCATCATTACCGAGAGATATTTGCGAGATGAAGATTTTTGATCAGATTTTATTTCCACACTCTCCGTGTTCCACTCACCGGACTGACTCGATCCAAACATATTGGCATTTTTAGGGTATTCAAGTGAAAGGACACAATCTAAATAAACACACAAAAATGATTTAGTAGATACAATTACTTTCCAGCTATTACAAATAAAATATTGAGAAACAATGTCCCTGGTTGAGAGCAAAACGATCAGTAACAGTGTATAGTCAAAATTGTTTTCCTACCACTTTGGTTCCACCCATTGATAGCGACATCACAATTCCCTGTCACAAAGGGGTAGGTGAAAAGGCTGATATCACAGCTCACTGCTATAAACAAGACAACAGCATAGTTCACAGTTCCATCACTCTTCACTGCTACGTCATCTGTGTAGGTCTTTGTGGTTACATCTATCCTGATGACAAAAAGAGAGAGATAACGTGACATTGTCACCAAAGCTGTGAACCACCTCCTAAAGTTAGCATACTTATTAACCTGTGTCAACCCAGCAGGCACACAACATCATCAAGACAAAAATATTAGGTTAGATTTAGGTCATGACGTCAGTTGACCAATTTCAATGTCTAGCCAGCATCTAAGGCCAGCGTTATTTTGATGTCAAATAACGACGTCAAATTACGTTGATATTTGGTTAATTTTAGGTTGTGTTGGAAAGTGACCAAAATCCAACATCTGATGGATGTCATAGTGGTAACGTCCACACAACGTGAAGGTGTCCCTACTGAAATATTCAGCTTCCAGCTAAGACCAGGCTGAAAATGGCTGGAAACCAGCCTTGAAATGGCCAAAACCCCTCTTAAACCAGGCTGGTCAACCAGCTAAAACCAGCCAATCAGCCTAGGCTGGTTTAAGCTGGATTTTTCAGCAGAGGTAACATGAATAGGCGTTGATATTTGGTTGATTTTAGGTTGGACATTGAAGTCGACCTGATGTTGGGGTTGTTTTAGATATTCTAAATATTTATGTGTTTTTAAAGTGTGGTCAAAGCAAAGCTGCACATTCATACAGCTGCTATGTTAAACACTTTGAAATCAAAATCACCAAAATAATCACTTTATAATCACATGAGCCTGTGGTGATACAGAACCTCGGTGATCAGGGCTAAGTTTCTGTGCATGCAAGGTTCTAAACATTATCTGTGTTTCCATCCACCTATTTTTATGCGCATTTTGGATATGCACACTGTGGAGGAGGGGTCTGTGGGCCTGAAGGCGATGGATAAGCCTCCACTGTAATTCACAGGCCTGTTCATGTGCTAACAGTCTTGCAGGGAGCAGCAGGGGTGATGCACTCTCAGGTTAGAGCATGCCTCGACTTAATTTGTGCAACAGTCATGCCCTCGCAGTGAAGGCATGAGCTGTCTTTAAACACCTCCTCAACATGCTGGACCCCCAGACATGTGTCGCAGTGCTCATGCCCGTCATCCGGTGAGAGGAATCCACCATATCCAGAAACACATGGTCGGAACGACATCGAAAAAAACGTGTTGCTGTCTTAGCAGATCTGCTCTTTTAGTGGAAATTGCTCAATTGCTCTTTCAGCCACCAGTGAAATGCCCAGGACATATAGCAGATAGTTCTCTTCAGTCTCAGTGAAGCTCTGAAGCAAAACAAATATATATATCCATCCCAAAGAAACCCAAAAGTACAGATCTAAACGACTACAGACCTGTGGCTCCAAAGGCCAGTACACACCAAGCCAAAACCAAACAACTAGAGCCAATGAAACGCAACTGTTTTGTGACCTTCCGTTGGCTCACATCTGGTTCCGTCTGGACCAATATTCTGCCTGTAAACACATCAAACAGAACCTCTGCCTCTGACTTCAGAAGGCATGCCCCCTGCTTGCCCCCACTCACCATCATGAACAGCACTGTGGCTGCAATATCATGGCATTCCATAGGCTGAATACTAGCGCTAGATGGGTGTGTCACTGCCAAGGACTACCAAACCATTCTGGAGGACCATGTGCACCCAATGCTTCAAACAATGTATCCTGAAGGCAGTGCCATAATGTACCAATACACACAACAGTGGTTTGATGAACATGAAAGTAAAGTTGAGCATCTACACAATCAACGGGTGTAAAAAATAACTGAGACACTTTGAGATGTTTTGGAGTAACAAGTCAGGAAATGTTTTCCTCCACGAGCATTATGTATAGTGACCTGGCCACTATTCTGCAAAACGAATGGCTCAAAATCCCTCCATTCAGAGCTCAGCCATAAGTGGCAACAACCTTTAATAATTAGAGCCTTAAGCCTGGCTCACACTTTGTGACTTTTCCTAATCCTAAAAAATATTGCAGCTTGTTAGACTGCAACAAATATGGTCCCCATGTCACACTGCAGGATCCAATTTGTCAGCTGTTTCTAAGATATCAGACTGAACAACAACGAAGATGTACCAGTAAAGACATGTCTTATCTGTACAAAAACAAATTTGTATTTTTATCATCATCATCATCATCATCATCATCATCATCATCATCACATAAAAATGAGCTCTCATGCATATATGTGTGAATGACTCTAGAAGACTACAATACAATGGCAACAAAAAAGATAGTGGCTGAAATGCAGCGTATTTTATTTGGTATTGTGTAAATGTGCATACTGCATAGCTTAATTATGCAAACTGCAGCTCTGCACAAGACGTTTGGCCAGCGGAGAAATTAAAATGGTCGTGCCTAACAGAGTCTGGTTTCTCTCAAGGTTTTTTTCTTCACTTTTGCCAATTGGCGAAGTCTTTTTTTCCCTCTCCGCTGTCGCCTATAGGTTGCATGGTTTGGGATCGGTAGAGCTACGCATCGATGAGTTTGCTCTTCAGTGTCTGGACTATCAATAGTGATATTCAAACCACACTGAACTAAGCTAAACTGAACTGAACTTAAACACTAAAAAACTGAACTACACTGTTCCTTCTATGTGAAGCTGCTTTGACACAATCTACATTGTAAAAGCACTATACAAATAAAGGTGAATTGAATTGAATTATCTAACAAAGCAAATTTTCATATATGACCTTCTAGCACAATACACTGAAAAAATGTGTTTTTATATTCTAAGCTAAAAATAACAATGCCCTGTCACAAACAAAATTTGTTCACTTACACATTGTCCAAAACTAGTCCAGGGGTCCAGATTTTGTGAACTGGCAACATAACAGATGTAGTATTATATATCTTGTCATTCCAGGCAAGTTCAGGATCTATCCACCTCTTTGGAGAAAAAGTTACTTGTAAAAAATAGAGGCAACACTGTGGTGACCATTGGAAATGAAATAATTGTAAAAAAGAATATATGATCTGCTTACCATTTTTACCAAGACACGGCTGCTCATTTGCATTTCCTTAGTATTCTTACATGGAGGCATATGTGGGAAATGCAAAAAGTTAAAAAATATATTAGAAAGATTTAAATGTATATAATGTAAAATATAGCTGCAGCAGTGTTGAATTACAAATGTATATAATCTAGTTCCAATGTAGCAATAATACATGTAAAACTTACATTCTTTGTGTTTTAAAAATCTAATTTCATTCAAAACTCAAGTGTGAGACATTTTATGCACTTCCTGATCACTGAGTAAAAAAATACAGATGCTAAGTCAGGGGTGTCAAACACCTGGAGGGCCGTAGCTCTGCATAATTTAGTTCCAGCTCTAATTAAACACACCAGATAGCACAAATTGAGTCCTTCAGGCTTGTTTGAAACCAACAGGTAGTGCCTCATTCAGACTAGCAGTGATTTTGTAGCTGGCTATTGCTCTGGGTGGCGACCTGCTTCAAAGGCAAGGGTGTGTAGGTAGGTATATACAGCACGAATGCAACCGGCCTCTGAGCGAGCTGAGAGAGGATCACGTGAGCTCTACTGGTTGCCGCTCAAGAAAGCCATAAAGCTTCATTTCCATAAAGTTGAAGGATTCTTAACTTTGTCGCGTCGCTCAACGTGCCCTATTGGTCGCCAACAGTCATTGACACTCGCATAGACAAAGGTCGCTGGAAGTCGCTCACTCCCTGTCAAAAATGAACGGTCGCTTGTCGCTTTGTCGCTGTTTGTAGTGTGAATGAGGTTTAAATCTGCAGTCAAACTGGATAAATTCAAAATTCTGTTGTCTGAATACTTTCTTTTGTAATGCGAAAAGGAGCAGGATTAAACAAGATGATTAGATATTTTAAAAAGCAAGCGATTGGTCTATATTTTAAATTTCTATCTAGAGAGGTCACGTTTTGATCCTTGATTGGTCTCACACAGTCAAGTGATGCGATTTTGCAGGTCAAAGTTCACTAATCTTGAATTTTGCAATGCAGTGAACTGCGAAACTTGTGGCATGAGCTAAAGTGTGTTGAAGCAGGGTTGAAACTAAACTGTTTTGGGCTGTGGTTCTTCAAGAACTGACTTTGACACCTATCTGCTAAGTTGAGGCACAGCTGTGCCTTTGTCTTTTTGAAATGTCTTGACAAGGGGTGTCCAAACTCTATCCTGAAGGGCTGGTGTCCTGCATAGTTTAGCTCCAACTTTCCTCAACACACCTGCCTGAAAGTTTCTAGTATACCTAGAAAGAGCTTGATTAGCTGTTTTAAGTGTGTTTAATTGGGGTTAGAACTAAAATATGCAAAACTCCAGCCTTCCAGGACACAGTGATCCCTGATCCCTAAGAACCGGACCCCTAATACTTTTAGGCCTTAGGTCTCAAACTCGATTCCTGGAGGGCCACAGCTCTGCACAGTTTTGATTCAACCCTAATCAAACACAGCTGATCCAGCTAATCAAGGTATTCAAGACTACTAGAGACTATTAAGCAGGTGTGAGTTGGAGGTGGTTGGAGATAAACTATGCAGAGCTGTGGCCCTCCAGGAATTAAGTTTGAGACCATTGTTTTAGGCTGAATACACTCATTTGTTGATGAGATCTGGGTGGGTGAAACTAAACAAGATTTTTCAACAAACAATCTATACAATCTACTTCATTTACATGGTTTGAGTAGGTTTTTCTCCACCTCTAGGCATCACTTCCCTTGTTTGACTTCTCTTAAATTTCTTGTTAAAAATCTACTTGTGAGAGTTCTTAAAGACTTTGATGATTGCAGCACAACCAGCATATCCTCAATAAAAAAATCTGTTTAAAGAAACAAGTCTCCAGGGTCCTTATTAATCATGTATGCACAAAAACATTGCGTATGCCAGATTTCACACTTACGTTTGGATTTACTAACAATGAAATTAACGTGATAATGTGCATTGGTCCGCGCCAACTTCATGTCTGGCATACGTGTATTTCTTGTGTGTGTTTGTTTTATTTCCATTGTCACCCACAATTGAGGCAACTCTCTACTCAAGGGTTTTTAGTTCAGCATCCTCTTTTCCCCTGCCTGTTCGGGCCACACTTTGACGATGCGCCGCTGTTCTCCTTTCAACCTGCACCTTTACATCGGACTATTTCTTTTTTAATTCACTCACAGTGCAATGTTTAGACCCCACTGCGTTAACCGCGTCAGCTAAACTCTCACACTCAATTTTTTTCTTTTGTCATTAAGTCCGGTGGACAATCTTGCAAATAACACAGTTTTACTCCAGTCTACCTCCAATAGGAGCACCTCCTATCACCTTCTGTGAAGTTTCTCTTTGTACTTGCTTTTACCATTGCTTCGCGTATGCAGTGTTTCATACATATGATTTTTTTACTGCGTACCCACATTTACAGCTTTGCCCGTACGCAATGTTTTAGTATTACTTCAACCCAAGTCTTTGTACATGAGGCTCCTGGTCCTCATTTTTGAGTTTACAACAGCGGCAGTTAAGGGACCGAGCAGACCAGAGGCACCATGAGCAAAGCAGTCTAGAAATAACCACATGACCAACCACCAGAGCAACTGGCCAAACAAAGACATTTGGAGATGTTGGCAAAACTGTTGAAGCACCATATATTCAGTTGCTGTGTATAGTGAGTCAGCAATTATTTCTTGAATCGATTGAGTAACACATCTTTCTCTGAATTTTGTGGCGCCTCATTATCTCTGGCTTGATTAAGTTACCCCAGGACCTAAGGCAAGAATCTACCCAGGACCTATACGCATCGTCCTTCACTAAAGACAAAGGATGTTTGTTACACTAGTTGCAATAGCGGTCACCACATGATGTCCGGCCATCTGGTTATTGCAAGATCTGTTAATCAGAATTAATACCCAAGAAAGAATAGAACCTTCCTTGTACCTTGGGTAACTCTGCCCCTCCCCTTTTTCTGTTTGCGAGGAACTTAAGCTTTTTAGTCACACAAAGGAATGATAACTATTAGTTAAGAGGCATTATAACTTGTAATGTATATGAGAGACATGATGTTTGATGTCAAACAATAGCTTTATTAAGGTTTCAATAACTTTTCTCAAAGGTTGCATGTACACTGCATGGTTCAAGTGGTCTAATAAAAAAATTTTCTCTCCCATGTGGCACAAATTGGATATGGCTCATGTACGTGTAAGCAGGGGGAGAAATCATATGGATTTCGATTTACTCATCAGATTCAGGCCTCGTTCATATATGGAAATTCATCAGGTAAGAATTGAATACATGTCCTTGTTTCTGCAGTGTAAGCAGGTAGATCGAATTTTCACCTGTCAATGCGAGTAGCACATCATAAAAAAGGTAGCGAATGATATCTTATTTAATGCTTCGGAACAGACAGAGTCGTACATCTTAAATCTCATATACAAGAACAAAGAAAGCTTTTATATTGTCATGTAGCACAAATATTCAAAGATGTTAACGAGAGAGAATGAGTGTGAATGCAACATCCACCACATAACCAACATAAACTAATATAAAAGTATTGCATTCATCATGTACATAAATCACACCATGGACATGACACTAAGATGACTACTGGTTTTAAAAAGCCTAGACCTGAAAAGACCTTAACGATTGTATGAATTGGAGAACATTTTACTTCATGCTTAAATTGCCATGTTCATTTCAAGTGTTTACACTTAGCTGATGAGCGATTATAAAGCTTGTTTGGCATGCTGTCCCGGGAGAGAGCCCTGAGCTCATAAGATCCTCGAGCCCGGGGCTCCCTGCCGTTTGCAAGGCGAGAGAGGAGTTTGAGCTCAGGTAGATCTCGAGAACTCCTCTGCTGTAGTAGCTAATGAACAGATAGTGATTACTTTTAAGAAATAACTACTTACTAGGAGCATGCCTATGGTGCCAATTTGGATTAGTCAATTAACTTAAGATGCATGTTTTTGGATGGTGGGAGGAAACCGGGGAACCTGGGAAAAACCCACATGAGCACCAGGAGAATGTGTAAATACCGCACAGAAATGTCAGCAGGCTTGATAAAGACTAGAACTAGTGACGTTCTTGCTGTGGGGCAATAGTGCTAACCACTGGGCCACCGTGCCACCCATCTAGAAAAGGAGGAGGAGTAGGGGTGGAAGGAGGGATTCTTCTAAATGAAGATGGCTGTCATAAGGAACTCCGGGTATTTATAGTGGTTTAGGAATCGTCTGATCGGTGAATCTTAAATTGAATAACGCGGGACCAGCCGCAAGCAATCATAAGCACATGATCCTCTCGAAATTAGTTCATAAATAAACTTCACTTAATATTTAGCAGAACAAAGTTCTTTAAATTAAATGTAACACACAATCCTAAAACGTTTGTGTTAATACAAAAACGTAATGAAGTAATGACTTCAGAAAATCCCCTAAAAATTTAAGCTGTTACCTGACAATAAAGGTATATTTTTCAGTGCAGTTAAAATAGTTTACAATGACATTTCATGTTAAAATCACATTTAAAGGGTGCCGACTGACATTTCCTTCTTAAAATCAGCCTTTTTTTTAGCCTCCTTTATTTATGTTTAGTTATTTCACATTAAGGCAAAGAAAATAACTCATTCATCACCATGAAAGTTGAATAACTGAACCAAGGAGCATGAAAAAAAAGCTCATATTAGAAGAAAATAACGCTTCATTTGTTTTTCCAAGCATAAAAAAAAGATACTTACAAAACTCAGGGTCTCGTACTGCACTGATGTGATGTTTACAATAACAGAACAGTCAATGTTCTGTGGCGCAATCATCTCTTTCTTATCAATTAGTTTTTTTGCCAGGCACCGACTGTCACATGAATCTGGTAAAACTGTAAGAGCAGATAAAGATATTCCAAATTAAATTGCATTAAAAACTTAATAAACTTTTACTTTTTACTGTAA